GGTCTGCTGTAGAGTCGCCAGCTGCATTTGATTCGCAAAAATCTGAAAGTTATGAAGCGGTTCACCTTGATCCATCGTATTTTCATTCTCTCTTTTTTCGTACTTTTCACTTTGTCGTGCCAGTGTAGATGAAGCGCCTATGTAACCTAGTTTTTCGTTAGCCATGATGATTTCTGTCGTAATCACTCGTAAAAACTGGTATTAAAATGCAGAATGGATTGCATTTGCAGGACATTTTACAAAAATAGCAAAAATAAATTTAGAGCTATCATTGAAAATTGTATCTCAAATCCAATTCAGATTACATCAATAAAAGAAAGCACAAAGTAAACGCTGCTGTGCACTTTTTGCCGTAACGCATTCGGGCAATTGTCGTCTATTTATGGTAGACAAATGTCGAGATCTTTTCAAATACAGTTCGTTTCTGAATGGTGGCTTGATAAGTCTTAGTATTTTGCATACGAATTAATAGAGTTGAGCTCTGAGTTTATTCTATGACTTTAAAGTGCCCTAGTCACTTCACTACTATACGTATTCGTCTACAATTGTCGTCGGCCTCAATCTGGCCTATTACCATTCTTAAATAGCATAGAAGGTCAAGATCTGGAGCTCGTATTATAGCTACTAAAAAACTCTACTGGTTATACCGAGTACTGTTGAAAGCGTCTACTGTAACGGGATAGCTTCAGCGACTGTAATAACCGGGTACATTTGTACGGTACAAACAGAAAGAGATATGTTTCACTTACGGCATACTTTCGTATCAACTGTGCTTATCGATAAGCCGTACCCTATTGGTTATGCCAAGAGGATATCTATCGCAGAAGATACTTCAAAAAAGCGATGTAGTTTCGCTGCGGTATGTAAAAAGAACTACGATGAGGTCTATTCGATTAGGTAGCACAATTTTATGGTCAAAGACGTAAGTAAGGTTCGTGGTCACTACAAATCAGTAAATATATTCAGTTTCCATTTTGATCAGTATCAGACGCGTGTCTATCTAAGACTTTTCCTGTAGTAAAAGTTGAGTGCCTGAGTAAAGGCTAATTTCCATTGAACAATAGTGCCACGCGATTCCTTGGAGTCGTTAGTCCCCAAAACTGGTACTAGGAGCTGAAGATCTAGTTAAGGTACTTGGAGTTAAGTCTCACTGAATGGGTAAAACCCGAGACCATTTAAGCTGAAAACCGTTTAGTTTTATACACTATACGACTCAACGAATCTATATATTTTTGTCTGACAAAGGAGTAAGGGAAGCTTCGATACAGTCACATTAAACTTTGCAACCAGCCTAGCGACTCTTTTAGGTACTTTTCAGTTAGCGCCGGAAGGGCATCAAGTATGGTAATGATGTTTTTGTTACAAATCATATTTTTGGCGAGGAGAGCCAAATTGGTAAATGGTACACCATTTTATTGTCCTCCATAAAAAAAAGCCATAGCTTTTTGTCCTTACTATTCTCCGTAATTTTCCGAGCACACGTTAGCTTTTACCCTTGATTGTCAATCATCTTGAAGCTGTTTTTGTCCTCTCCATCTCTTTATCAAGTGAAGAGCAAGACCATTAGCTTAGAAATGCAGTTTGAGCAATCAGCAATCGCAGTGAACAAGTTCTTGGTCCAGGATGCTATTGAGCCTCACATAGAATCACGTTGGTACACTTTGTACAGTATGCCCATCTACCCACAATTTTTCTATATTTAATCGCGTTGTGCAGATGCTAGCAGCGGTAACACCGATTACAAAACGATATAATGTCATCACCCATCGACTGAACCGTGTACATGTGTCGTGGTGAATGAGGATGACTTCGACAAAGAAATTATATTTCATCTGTGCATGCGAAGTAGTACTATGATTGAGGAAGTCTATATCAACAAACTAATCAATACAGCTCCCACAACCAATAAATTTTTTGAAGACAGCAGGGGATGCGACTCGCACCTTTGGGCATTGCCATCTTTTGTTCGTATCCTCAAGGTTGCTGAATTTATGTGAGTTAGCTGAATTTTATCTTCGTCCCAGTGATGTGGCGCATTAAATTAGTGATGTTCCTTGTGTTTTCTGGTCTTCGTCTTCAAAATTGGAATAATAAATGTATGCATACCACCATAATGAATTCGATAAATGCTGCTTACTTAATTATTAAAGAAGCCACTGTCTGCAGGTATCACAATCAATCGAAAAGAGAATTACGTATAGTTAGACATAATCTCGCAATCTGAACGATCTGCACAGTCAAGTCAGCAGGTCGCTGACAGCCACTTGTTTTGGTTGATGCTAGCACATATCGCGAATCTGATACGATACAAGCTTCCAACGATACAATTTTGCTTCTTAATGTAGTGATGCTGTGTGTAAAAATATCTGCATTTCACATGGGATTATCTGCAGTTGTTTACTACTTTTTCCGTACGTGGATTTTTGCAGAGCAACGATCATGTGACTTAGAGGCGACAACTGTGCTACTACGGAGTATTAGATACTCTTAAAGCATCTTAACTGAACCACATTATATAATCTCCTAATTCAAGTGTCACTTCGACTAAACTCCGCGATAAAAGTACTCATCCTTTAAAGACACTACATCCAGGTGCACCACTTTTAAACTTTTAATGCTGCTTTAGTTCTTTCCACGCATGTCGTTCTTACCCGAAGTGTTTTTGTGTGAAATTGTAGCGACGTCTCATAGTTTAAGGGTGCAGGCGTCCAGAGTTGATAGGGGAAGTGCGGGCGACCAGTGAATGTAGCTTTGGTGGCAACTAAGAAATTGTAGGGTTGGAGAGAGGTTTGAGTCGCTTCAAATTTGTCTTGGTAGGACAAAAATATGGAGAGTTCTCTGAAATTGATGTATTATAATGTGGTGAGGTGGGTACGCAATACTTTATATTCACTCTTTGATTGCGATTTAGCACTAAATAAATTGGCCCGGTGGAGATGGTCGATCGAATTGGATATGACGATGTGATGCAGTGAGCACCCTAGTCTTTCAAACATAATAAATTTATTAAATTTGAACTGCAGTCATCCCTTCGACAACTTATAGGATTGGTGGAAACAAATTCGATTTTTTAAACGAGTTATGAGTTAGGTAAATTTCCGAATGTCTTTTTTGTGAATAACGTACGGGCCCCACAATTAATTTCTAATAACTCGTGTGCCAGGAACTGTCGCCAACGCACAAAGCCTTGTGGTATGCCAGTAAACCGCCAATTACACAAATATAGTTATTGTATTATGGCAAATTGGGCTTTCAGCAAGTTTGCATTTCAGATCACCCAGATCGATGTATTCGCTCATAATCGAGAAGTAGGCTAATCTAAAATATCTTGTAGCCAAGAAGATTTCCGGAAAAATGCTGAGAGGTGCTTGGATTCCATAGCTGAGGAATACCTGTCAACTTGGGTGCTTTTATACAAATCACAGAATGTCTTCCCGATTGGAAAAATCATTGAAGTCAAGGCCAGGTAATTTTTGGACGACTTAGCCCAATTGAGGACACCGTCAAATTCTCCAGTGCAAAAGTCTCACCGCTTTCAGTAGATAAACGGGCCGCGCAGCATCAGAATGTACGGCGAGCGTGATCAGCGAATGGAAAATTATCCAATGCAACATTGCCTGGACTTTGGCTGTAAAAACTCGCCGCGAGCGCCAAGACGTTTCTGACATGATCAAGAAATGTGTAAGATTTAAGAAATGTTTTTAGGCAGGTGTTGTCTAAAAGTATGTATAAAATAAATTGAATTACATCATAATAAAAAGAAGACAGCTAACTAAAAAATGATTGAGTGCTTCGAAAAAAATGCTGCATTAAAACCTCACTCGAGTTTTTTCCTTAACACCACACTAGAGTGGTTTATAACTAAAGATGAAGCCTTATCTGAGATAGAATAATCGGGATAAGACTGAGCGAAAGAAATCGAGATAAGAAACGAGAGATTAAACTTGAAAAGGATTGACAAATAAATTAGAATAAGTTTAAAAGAAAAAAGCGTGACAAGACGATGTCAAACAGACGCCAACACAAGATTCGTGCTATAACTTTTTCATTCTGCAAATTTGCTCGTAATGAGAAAACGGTCGGGTCGCATGCCCCCCGCGCTAGTTGGCGGCCCGTGGCGCAGTAAGTCCCTGTGCCGTATAATACGTGGGTAGGCCCGGCTGTGCACATCCTGCAAGAAATATGAAGAAGCAAACGAAGCTTCTCTGCATGAGGTATGTGCACACCAAAGAAACGTATTTTGAGCAAATTACTTTGTTTTTCTCAGTGTTTTAAAGCAACAAGACTGCGATCAATCCAAATGACTTGAACTGATATGGTACGTTTGATGCAGTTTCACGCTATTTTTACCACATCTCACGTTGCCCAACGTAGGTGTGCACTAATTAAGAATCAAAACTTATAGTTGGATCGTTCGAGAAGTCAAGCTCGTACTCGTCGCCGTCGCCGTCCATATCACAGCTGTTGCCGTCATCTAGGAGAGGTAAGTGCAAGAGCGAGTCAGCGATGTCGCTCCTGAACACAAGTCGCTGGAAATGGAGTCCGTACTCTTCGTGAGCGCCAAATCATCTTTTTCTCCGAGAAAGCAGATGCGGAAGCTGCGGCAAATTGATGGCTTGCTAAACTCCGACCACGCGTCCTTGATCTAGCCGACGATCATTGAAAGAGACGGTAGAGAACATTTCCACCTGCAGAATAGGAGTGAGGTCCATGCTCCTTTCTATTGTCCGTCAGGTTGGCTTGGTGCTCTTTTTAAGAGTTTAAAGGAGCCGCAATCGCAGGGCTAGACAATGAAGACAGACTGCTGGGGATGATTGCGTACAGGATCTTACGAGCCTGTAGGTGTGTCTTTATCTTCTTCTTCTTCACGTGACTCGATGCTGAGTCAAAAAAATCTTGTTCCGCGGGTCCGGGAAACGTAAACATGTAGTCGACGTATCGAAAAAAACGAGTCCGAATCCACATGCAATTAGGCGTTGGTGATAAACTGGATCCTTTTTTTAATGCGAGATCGTTGACTCATTTCCCTTGTCTAGAATACATGAATCTAACTTGGTCGAGTCGCCGCGAACAGCAAACACAGCAAGCAAGAGAATCTTCTTGGAGCCTAGAGACCTGACGGGAAGGTCGGCGGACCCGCGATCCGCCAGTTTAGACTCATTGTCATGGTCATCAAAGACCGCGGTCTCTACCACATTGATGACGTTTTGAGGCTCGACATTGTTTTCACCGACAAGCTTGCGCAAGATGCAGTCGGCACCGCGCGAGGCGATAACTTCAGCACTCAGTTTCGAACTTTTGCAAGACTACGTTGCGTTGACAAAAAAGAAAAACTCAAGCCAACCATTCAAGAGAGAGAGAGACCGGGCTGCTCTGCCATCTTCCAGAGGATACTTGCCGCTATTTCCACGAACCGGCAGCGATGAGAACGTACGGGCTTAAAATAAATTCACGAACTCTAGCGATGAGAAGAGAGTCCAGCTCTTTACCGGCAACACAGCGACTATCCCCACCAAGACGGAACCTGCTCAGCGACTCCTCGTCAAACGCGCCATTATTGTCTTGATGGACCAAGTCGCAGATGCAGCGACAGTCAACGTTGTACTTGGAGGCCAAGAATAGTAACGATGCCTTCTTCGCCTCACTTGCAATCTTCTTTTCGTCGCCGATAGTGTAAAGTTCGCGTCCTATGGTTGATCAGGAAATGAAATCCTAGGCTGTGCATTACCAGCAGCTATTGCAGAGAGCATGCTGGAGCGTTATCACTTTGACGTTTTGGTGTTTTGATAGGTTCTATTGCGATTAAGGCTGCTCATAGTTACTTCCAAGTGGAGTTCTGTTCGAGGGGGGGTCAGTTGGAGGGATGGGTTTGTGGAATAACCTTCAGGGGCACATGTGATTTTGTTGAAGGGGATGCTCAAATTGAAGGATAGGACTTAAATCAGGTTTTACAGTAAAATCAGAATTGAATCAATATTAAAAAATTGAATTTGGGACTTTGCAGCTCAAAAACAGTTAGTTTTATTTTCATTTAGATACCGGATCTCTATTACGTTCACGGCCATTGCGGATAGTACTTCAGATGTCCATCCGTATGGCTGCCACCACTCTGAGACCCTTAATTTCTAGTATTCACTTGTTTATTGCACGTAGACACTTAGTCCCCTTCAATTGTGCATTTATTACAGGAACATAATATCCTTGGCTCAGGAGTATAATCGTTTAAAATTTTGTCCCCCATTTAACTCATATATTTACACTTGTTGTGGATTACGAGTTATGAGTTAGCGACCACGGAACGAGCATGGTGGAACGCAATTTGTACACGTTCTTTGAGTTATGAATTATAAGAGTGTGAGTTATCCAAGGAATTAGTGTACTGCTTCTTCATAAACAACGCCGTGTGCCATTTCTTTTCGGACATCTGGACAAGAGTGAAAGCTTCGCGGTTTTTAGCCGCCAGTCTGTATCACCTCCAGTGTTTGTTTACTGCACGGGGATGCTACATATGGACCAATCTGCAACGACGGGTTGCTGAACAATGCTCAGCGCTCAGCCAGCAAATGCACATTCAGCTTCAGTCTGTCTTAATGTTGTCAAATGCGTGAGGAAGCACTGAATCCTCCTATTTCAGGAGGCCGAAGCTTACAAATAGGTAGAAGACGACGAAGAAAACAGAATCGATTACGAAAGTTGTCACATCCAACGAGCAGGTGTGGTACAAACGAAAAAAACCAGAGTGCTCTCACTATTCTCTAGTACGTATTTTGATCGGGAGAACGCAAATTTATGGCGATGGCCAGATGGTATCATTTGTCGTCGAAATGTAAGCAGTAACGGCACAGAAATAAGTGCATGTGTTGTGCAAGCCAGTTCAAAACCCGCCACCTTCTAGTTCCCAACACTCCGACGTCGTCGACCCTCGAGCAGTGCAGTTCCCCAGTGTATTCTTCCACACACAACGAGCAGCGTGTGCATTTCCTGCTCGCTCTCCCGTCGCGCTGCCCACAAGAGCAAGAACCGCTTGGAGACAATCCACTCGGCACCATCAAACGCACGTGCGCAGCCTCTTATTGGCGATTTCTTGCTCGCTGACAATTCTAACGTCGTGTATTGTCCATCTTGCCAGACTTTCTACATCTGATACATACGAGGTTCCAAGCCGCGACCGAAACGACCTGCCTAGAGCCAGAGCCAACACCCACCTATCCAGATAGATAGACAGACAGACACACAGACAGACAGACACACAGACACTATGGGATGCATGAGCAGCAAGCCGAAGAACTGTCCGCAGTCGCCTAATACTGCGCGATACAATGAGCCCAACTACTCAGGCCTCACGCGCAATATGGACAGCGGTGGCTTCACAGGCCAGCAGTCGCGTCGGTCGTCTGCCCAGTCATCGACTCGCAATCCACGCACGAACGCAGGTGCCGCGACTACGAGTGGCAGCCGCGAGGTCACGGACAAATGCTTTCCAGAGCTCGTCAAGTTCCGGCTGGAAGAGAGCGAGGTGCTGCTAACCCGCAAGGTCTCGAGTGGCGCTTTCGGAGTTGTGTGGCTGGGCCACTACCATGGCCATCCTGTGGCTGTGAAGCGGATGATTGACGGTGAAGATGAGGCGATTTCCTTTGCTCGTGAGATTGAGACCATGTCGAGACTGACGCACCCCAAGATTGTCCGCTTCATTGGCTGTACGTGGACCAACAAGAAGGATCTGGGCGGCGTGTCTGAGTACATGGACGGTGGTGACGTCCGTACGCTGCTAGAGGCTCGGAAGATCGAGCTTAGCTGGGAGAGGGAAAAGATTTCCATTGCTATAGACATTGCCGAGGCGCTTGCGTACATGCACTCGCGCTCGCCAAAGGTTATTCACCGCGACCTCAAGTCCCGTAATGTGCTGCTGAACTCGAACATGGTGGCCAAGTTGAGCGATTTTGGTCTCAGTCGGAACCGTACGTACGAGGAAACACTGACGGCTGGTGTGGGGACGGTACGCTGGACAGCACCCGAGGTGATGCTCGGCGACAACTATAGCGAGCAGGCTGATGTGTACTCGTTTGGTGTGGTGCTCAGCGAGTTGGATACCCGTGAGATCCCGTTTGAGGAAAAGAGCAGCAGAACAGGTGCCAGTGGCGCGCCTGATATGGCCATCGTGATCAAGGTAGCCAAGGGTGAGCTCCGACCAAGCTTTGCACCGGATTGTCCCGATGTTATTCTGCGTATTGCTCGCGCGTGTCTACAGTTCGACCCGGCGCTTCGTCCAGACAGCGAATCAGCTGTGCAGATGCTTAAAGATGCGCGCGCACAGCTTCAGTCTACGTCATAAGCGTTACATGCAGGACCCGCTGACCAGCGCAATTGCGTCTCTTTCGTCAGCTGGTATCGCTGTTAAGTATGAGCTGGCGCGGTCAGACGCATTTTGAAGTGGTGTTAAGGTTTCTCCACCGCAAGCATCCGCTCCGGTATAAAGCAAACGAAAAGCGACAAAAGCAGACCGACCGGACGTCTTGCGTTGTTCAAACTGGGGACGAGAGAAACGACAATTACCGTATATTCGGTTGTCTGGTCAGGAGTGAGTAAATAGCTGATAGCGGAATGGTTGGGAGAGGCGGCATGGCAGCGTGACACATCAGCACTCGCACGTTTGGCATTCGCTCTTGTTCGACCCTCATATTAGCAGTTGTGATAATTTGTTCCAATTTTTACCACTAGCTCTCAGTGCAATCTTCGCAATGTCTTGTCAGTACAATCACTTTAAGTTTCCAGCGCTCCAGCCCTTGCTTAGAGAGTAGGGTGGGGTCTCATTCTTTGCCACTCTTAAGTCGACAGCGGAAACGCAGCTGCCGGCTTGACCCGGTAAATCCGAACGATCCATTCACGTGAGGTAAACACGTGCTGAAAATGGTGTAGATCAATGTCCTGCTGCGATATTCTCACTCGTCGATTCAAATCCCAGCCAAAAACGGGATCTTTGTCCTCTGTGCCCATCGAGCTCCGCACTTGGTTGAACTCGAAGTAACTGAGCTTATACAGAACACTCTCTGTCATCGCGAGCGTGGCATTCTCATCGAAAACGTATCGCCCGTTCACTTGAAATTCGGACTCGATTACATCGTCCGGAAACACTCCCTCTGAGATCTTGACTATCCAAGGCAACTTATTTAGATCGTCACCAGGCAGGCCAACTTTGCCTCCGAACTGCAAGAAAACGTAGTTGACACCGAAACTTTGTAAGATTGGCGCAGCATCATCTTCTCGAGAGACTAGTACACGGCCAACGGTAGCAATGTGCGTATTGTTCCACGTATTGTTGTCAACAAGAACGGTACGGTTTGCCAGTGTAGTAATCTGGTATCCGTAGTCCCACCAGCTGAGAATTTTGGCATTTTCGGGAGTATTTTGCCGCAGCCAGGCAAATGCTTCACGGTAATCGTCATGTACGTCACTCTTCATCGTGGACGTGTTCATTTTTTCAAACACAAGTGACGTTGAAGAGTATACTTTCGTGGCAATCTTGAAAGACTGACGAACGTGAATAACGAGGAGGAGCTATAACAAGGTCCATGAGTCGCACTGACACACATTATCAAATAGAACAAGACTACGTACCCCACAAGCGACAGCTAGTAGCAGTAGCGCTTTTGGAGCCTTCCGCTTTTTGCTATCAACCCTTTCGTCAGACTGGAAGCGCAACATAGTGCCGACGGCTGAAAGAACGTCTTCAATAGGCTCCTCTTCACAATGTCTTTCTTCGCCTCCTATTGCAACGGTACTTGACGCCCCATTCGTCGTCTCTGCTTGACATTCTTCCACCTCATCTGGCCCTCCACGCGTACTCTCGATGATTTTGTGCACGAACCCGGATAAACCAACAGCTGAAAGATAGCACGCCACTGGAGCCAGGGTGAGCAACAGGCGAACCATGATACCCGAAAAGTAAAAAGCAAATGCGGTGTAGACGATCATAAAGACGGAGGCAGCGTCCATCTTTTGAAACGTGTAAAACAGTCCCAAAGGAATGAAAAGCATCGCTGGGCCGAGCGAGAAGTAGAACGCGGACCATACCGTCGGTTGGTGTTCGCCCACTGATGCTATAATCGGAATGTACTTGGACGCGTACGTTGGATCGAGCAGCGTCAAACTGCGTCCGCTCCATTGAAGCTTTCCCAGCAGAAGTACGAGCAGCAACCCGCCAACGACGATCACAGTACCGGTCCTCACAACAATTCGAAGAAGCTGCAAAAAGTGATGTGGCGAGAGCTGTGTCGACAACCATTGCATAAAGGCGTAGACTACATTCAGCAATAACAAGAGCAAAGCCACCTCTTAGCATCAGTTACCGAAAAACAAAGATCGAGCAAATGAGGGACCACAGCAACACGCCACTCTTCGATATCCAACGGACCTTGCAGAAGCGCGAACACTCCGTGGGAACCAGCATTCTCACCCTTGAGGACTGCATTAAACCCAATAAAAGGCACCTGCATCACCCCGAGCGTCGCAAGCGGGTAAAACGTCGAGTACGCCACATAGATCCTGGATGAGTACTTGCCCGATAACAGCATCACCAAGACGTGAATCGGGATGAGATTTACAATGAACACGTATCCTCCCCATGAGAGCGCCATGGCAACACACCCACCCGCAGCCAGCGCCGCCCAGAGCATCAAACCCGTCTTGACAGCCTTTACCCACAAGTAGAAGGTAAAGATCAACAGAAAAATGGCAATTCCTTCATTGTCGAAAGAGCCGGCAGTAGACCGCGAGATGTACGCGGGCGAAACCCCCAAGAGCATGGCCGACAGCAGCGCCGTCGGGACGTTTCCTGTGACCTCCAAAGTGAGCAGAAACTGCGCCACGCAGGCGAGAGCGGCAAGTGCTGGTGCAAAAAAGACACAGGCGTCGCGGATCGAGAGCGGGACTCGTAGGAATTGGCTCAAGAGCCACTGCAGCGCCACGGCGCCGGCCATGAGACCGGGGTACACTGTCGTACCCACCACACGACCTAAGGGATACCATGCGCGGTCATCGAACCAGTCCAGAAGCTCGTAGACACCGTGCTGAGCGAGGAACTTGGTGACGCGGAAGTTGAACTGGGGGTCGAATTCATGAACAACCTGCGAGAAAGCGTGTTACGAGAAAAGGAGATGGTCAGAAACGCTGCAGGAAGGTGTGGAAGAGGCAGCAGATACGTACACTTCCCCCACTTGATGACTGGGAAGAGGCGGATGGAAAAGCTCAGCACGCAAGTGGCTGCCAGCAGCCCCGACGACGTGATTGGTGTCATCTGCTCGTCAACTACTTTGACTTGAAATTGGAATGGCACCGTCGAGCGACGTTCGTGTCACCTTGGCCAATTGGTTGAAGTGACCATCATTCCGTTCCGCACTGCGGAAGTTGCCTTTAGTAGTCGACTTAGACCAAACGAACAAGGTGATGCCTGTAACAAGAGGAAGAGCGCGTATGATGGAAAGCCAGGAGGACGACATGGACGAAGGTCAGTCTCAGATGATGCAGGAGATAGAGGAGGAAGTAGAAGAGCACGACGAGCAGACGCCGGCCGCAGCTGAAGCGCAGGATGAGGTCAACTTGAAGGAGATGGCCAAGCAGGTGAGTCTGGCACACTAACTGCGATAAACAACTCATCAGGCGTAACGTGAAGTTGTGACCCCTACACAGCTGACGAACACGCTCAAGCACCTGCTGACGACGCACCGGTGCGTTTTCCTACCACAGTTCTCTTGTAATATTTGACTGGCAATCTAACTCAAGCGCAGCCAGCTGGAGAACGATGCGGCCATGATCCAGGCCGGAATGGACGAGCTGTACCGCATGCAACAAGACGTACGTTAATGGTGTTTACAAGGAGGTGGCGGTGAGGTGTTCACCTCTCGTTTTCTTTTTCTTGTAGCGAGCTCAGCGCATTGTTGGGAGACTCAAGAACGCGAGCTCCACGATCTTAACGTTTGGCGAGGCGACTCAAGACGCACGAAGAGATCGCCCGGAGCAAGACGAGAACGACTGCGAGGAGGAAGATGAGGAGATGATGCAGTAGCGAGCGCAAGAGCGCTGCTAAAAAGGGGTCCTCAACTCAAGACGTCAATCCTCCGTCAGTCTTGTTTTGCTTTCTGACACAGATCTAAGTTGTTTCCCAGCCCGCTACAGAGCAAATTGGAGTTGCAAACCGTGCCATCGAGAGCATTACAGTGCTACCTTCAACACCCGTACAAGGAACACGCCTCGTTTACGTCAAAGCAGTAGACCTTTTCGTATCTGGAAATAGTGCACGAGTTTCTCTGTGCCACGGACTCGCAGCAGCTGAGAGTCACCTCACTTCTTCAGCGAGTCAAGATCGTCCACGTCTTGCAAATACAAACTCTTGTCCATCACAGCTGCTGCCGCATCAACGGCAGGGACCTCGTTGTTATCGTCCTCTTCATCACTGTGAACTGAGTACGCTTCATCATCTGCATCCGCGTCGTCGCGGAATAAAGTCGGGTCGTACGTGAACAACGCACGACCACTCACTGCAGTAAAAAAACAGGAGGTAATAAAGGCGGTCAGCAAAATCTCTACGATCAGGTAGATAGATCCAAGCCAATGATGTACGTACTGACGCCGCGACCGCCCGTCCGCTTCGCTTGCTCTTTTAGCCGCTTTGCTTCCTCGGTCTTCTTACGCGTCAGCTTATCAGCCTTCCACTTCGCGAGTGACTCTTCCGTGACAGGAGTGCCCCCGTTGGGCCCTAACTTGGCACGCTGCTGCTCAATGATTTCTTCAATCGAGACCTCCACCACCTTGTTGCCCTTTTCCAGCTCACGGTCCTTCTTCGACTTGAACACATACCCAACAGGAAGTGCGTGACGGTACCTACGCAATACGCCGAAACAGTCGGTCGGTCACACACTACTCATCATGCGAGGCAAAGCATGACGCAATGAAAACCTACTTGCAAGAAGTGCCGCCGTTTGGACACACCCAGAACCAACCGTACAACGACTTTTCAATTGCGTCCAAAAAGTGTTTGCAAACGATTTCCGTCTGTTTCGCGTTTTTCTCGTGGTGCTTCTCATTCACCACTTCTTCCAGTTTGTCCTGATCCCAAGTGTCAATTTGATCTAATACGAGCATCACAGCATGTCAACCGCAAGATACAGTTGGCAGCAGTACCAGCATTCAAAAAGGCTCGTAAAGCAACCCTCTCATCACCTGCTTCCTTCTCAGTACGGTTGTCTGTATACAAATCGATTTTAGCGGCTTTCTTGCCTACCATCAAGTCATGCGAGAATTTGCACCGGACTCCCTACATTACCAATGCCACATACACCCTCTGTATGAACAAACTGCGCCTTATCCACTGTTTAAAACCCAACCACAGTGCCACCTTAGTGCATACGCCAGCCTTGAAAAAAGCACAGAGCACCGACTTTGGGTCCGTTCCAGGAGGAAGCTGTGCAGTGTCATCATTCACAATGTAAGTCAACATCTGTGCAAGCCAAAAAAGTAAGAGCAGCCAACTTACAGCGGGCTGCCTAATGGAAGCTGCGAATAGACTCTTAAGGTTCTCCTGCTCTGCCTTTGCATCTTTTTTTCGCTTGGCCTCCTGCTCCTTCATGCGGTCAGCACGAGTAGTGCCGCCCGCGACTTGCTTGGTGACCTCCTGGATGTACTTTTGTACATTCTTGCTCTTCTTCTTGTTCTTCAACCCAAAGGTCTTATTCTCCAACACCTTCTCCTTCTGCTTCACCGCAGCCTTCTTTGAAGGTCCCGATCCTGCGGCTTTCTTCGGCGGCATCGTCTTTGATCGGCGGAGACGCAGCAGCGACCGTGTCAGCGTCCCTGGTTGGCAATCGCTCCAAGCACACTCTCAAGTTGATTGGCGGAAATTCGACTCGTGCATTTCGACGAATCAAATACACCCGATTCGTCTCGTTCCAATAATCACACATGGTCCTATCACAACTATGGCTGTGGGGCTCAATGGAGTCGCGCGCTGTGTCACACTTCAGTCACAAATGTATGTAGTTGGCAAAAGAAGTTGAAGGCAGCGCACTTTGCTATTCGCGACAAAGTGAGTTGGACATATGCCTGTACGTACTTCAGTTTGGCGTGACGTGCTCGTCCAGAGCTGCTTTCATTAGTTTTACCAACACGAGCGGGGAGGCGCTGAAGTGACGTTTGAGGTTGAGGTGGCGACATCTGCCGCCACGTCAGGCTAGTCACAGCGACTCTGATGTCGACCATTTTCTTCTCTTGTCTCAGTTAGTTTGCCTATAGTAAACGTGAGGAGAGGCAGCTCAGCTCGGTAGTGGCAAGGATGTAGATGGACTCAAACCAGAGGGCTCAAGCCGTGCACCACAAAAATGGATTATCCAAAAGCTGGATGGAGCGGCGCGAAGCCCTTAGCGTCTTTTTGCGCCGAAACAGCTCTGTTGCTGTGGCATCGACGTCACTTAACATGCGCCGACGGTGTGTAGGCAATCGAAGCTTTGGACTATTAAAGTGTAGACATGTGGCTTTGGCCATGTTTATTTTGTTCACATGATAAGTGAACGCCTCAGTTTCCTCGAATTATCCCAATGAATACTCGTTTGCTTCGGCGCTCGTAATAAACAGCACTCAGGAAGTGTGTGCTACGTCAGTGAACTTAGTCTCGCTTCGCCGAGTAAGGGGCGACGCGTCCAGTTCGAGTTGGTGGTTCTTGCTGGCGTCGGAGACACCAGGCTTCGTGTCGCCGTGGTCAAAGTACAGCTTCAAACTCAGCATAAGGAGCCCCGCAACCTCTTCGACGGCGGCAGGAATGTAGATCGGCCACAAGTCTTCGCCGATGCCGTAGACCAAGATGAGTCCAATGCCAAGACAGTATAGCAGCTGGAAGCGGAGACTGATGTCCTCGGCGCTCTTGGTCCTGCACACCTTCATCATCTGCGGCACCAATGAGCTGGCGATCACAAAGGACCCCATCATGCCGATTGTTTGATACACAATGCCCATTTTCTTAGTAGGAGAAGATGCACAATCGACGTTCTCAATTTTGTGTTGTCTTAACAGCTCTCGAAGCACGCGTGAAGTCGGCGAATGAGTACATTGGAAGGGCAGACGGCGTCGTGCGAGTTGAGACACCACGAGGCGCGACCTTTCGACATGAGAAACGGCGACATCTCAGCTGCATCCTTGATCGAACTCGGGCGGACGGAGTCCTATTCTCTCACCAATAGGAACTGCTGGAGAGTCAAAATGCCGTATCAGAAGAAAAAACGAATTGATGGATGTGCACTACGTCGCAGTTCGTCTACCTCACTAGATGTACCGACAACGGAGCAATCCGTTTTTGAATTACTAGGGTGTAACAGTCACAGTTGCTGATAACAATAGAAGGGACCACCGCGCAGTTTGTCGGTCATACATCCACGATTGAATATCCAGCCTTCGATGGCATGGAAAGCGCCTCGGCGCAAACCTTCGCCGGATACACCTGAGTAATCACTGACAGTCTCGAACATCGCATTGCTATCAGAGTGGAGATCTCTTTATTGATCTCTTCGCGCGCAGGAGTATTAGAAATCTATAACAACCGCCGCATCGAACCACTGAGTCGAGCTGGGGTAGATGTATGCGGTTTGAACATCTAGTGGCGACAGCCTTCTAATCACCTGACAAAAGCTAGAGCAGTATCCATAACTCGCATTGTGTGAGGTGATGGAGCTGCGGTGGGTAAGACGCATCCGCTGCAACCTGTTTTTGTGTTCTAGACCCACTGCGGCGTCCGTGAGGTAAACGATCGCCTGTGCGTTGAACAGTGATCAGTACAGAGACTATCTGGTTCGATGCAGATTTGTGCGACTTCCGTCAATGATCACTCAGCTAGCAAAATGTCTGTGTGTCCGTGGGGTAATCGACACTCTATTGCGAGTTCGGAAAGTTCTCAGTGAGTATGCGTAAGTTGATAGCTGAACTTCCCTGAAGCTACTTTATGTGTGCATGTAAACCGCAAAGGAATTATGTAAAGGTTCCACGTGGTGCGATCTGGCTGTCATCTCCTTTTTGTGTTAGTTATGCACCATAGCGCATAGTCATTATTAGCTTGTTTATAAAGGTAATTGAAATATTTGTCGAATCTCTCGTTGAACCTCTTATTGTCCATCCCTTCGAACCTTTTGTCCCGTCAGACTCTATCTCCTAAAGTACTATGAAAACCTCAACTGTTGGTTGAGCGATGAAGTAGGTCGCTGCTCGAAGCGTGCTCAATCATTTCCAAGATAGGACCGCTAACTTTCTGTACCAATGCTCACGTCAGCAAGCATTATAAGTTGTCTATTGTTGCGTCAGCCCAGCTGAAGTGCACAAAAGACCCCGACATCGAATGACAATTTTTTATGATCAAGTGCTGTGGTTTGTGATATCAAAAGGAAGCGTTATAGGTGGCTGCGTTGGTCAAATTATTCAGTTCAGAGATGTATCTACCAGCACAACATTCCAGACGCACTAGCACCTTTGCACGTTCGGCGTACGTGCTTGTGTGTAACTATCTAAGGAGACTATTTTCCAAGTGTGTTGACTTGTAACAACGACAACATTTTTAAAAAGTACTGTGAAGATTGATCAACTGTGGCTTGCTGTTCAAATGTCTATCTCTGCTTTCTTTATGTAGATGATGGATGGGATGCACTCGTACGAAATCGCCACAATCATGGAGATGCTGCAGCTTCTATCGCTGTTGACTCTGTAATGAAACATGTAAACAAGCTCTCGTCCGTCCACGAAAACCTGCTGTGTCCACTAGACATAAATACAAACATATGGCACCAGACTGAGCATGTCGTGACCAGCCTGCTTTTATCCTGCATCAGGCTTGCTCGCTTTCCTCGAAGTATCTCGCATATTCGCAGCGTGTGTACGTGGAAATCCAGTTGCGCCACTTTTGTAAGCTCAGTGGATGTTGTGCGCTCGAACGTGAGAAAACACAACTTGAGGAAGTACTCGTCAAGGAGATTATGCCGAATAGCAGTACAGCTGCCCACGACCACCTTGACACTATAATTAATATCACCTGACTGACACGCATTGCAAGTGCTGCCACGAATCAGGCCATAGCACGCCAAAGCAAAAAGAATTGAGCTGCGAATTCAGCTTTGACGTGCTGAGCCCGGGCCCGGCGGAATAGTAAGATATACTGTCGGTGTCGCGGACGTCAAGGGCGAGCTCAAGAGGTGGTGGTGACCGCCATGATCCTGACCTGTTATACTCGTGGTGTTTTCGGGTTGGAAAGCTCACTCCAGAACGTATGGAGGTTTAACGTGTAGCAGATGTAGCTGTTTTGAAGATGCTTTACAAGCGGCGGTTAACTGAACCTCTCCTTGAAGCAGTATTTTAAGTGCTTGAATTGCAGCTCAACTACCTTTATAAACAGGCTCTTCGTGAAAAGAGCAAGATACCAGTCAGCTTAGTATACTTCTGAAAAGATGGTGACGGACATGTCCATGCAAGAGCGAAAGTTCAGGATACAGAGGAAAGTCATTCAACTAGATGCAATGCCATTAGCATGTGGTTATATTGGGGCTGTTCTTTTAGGAGGGCGTCATTGACGGTGTGACATGCTTTCTCCTGGACTTCTTAGACCATCCATCGAGCCGAGTGAGCGCAGGTGTGCCCAGCGTCATAGACCATCACGTTTACGATCGAAAATCGGTTGTTGATAGGTTGAACCGCGCTCTACAAGGGACCGTGGAACCAGCTGCAGATGATGTTCCATGCCTTTATCTTAGTGGCACTGCTGCCGTGTTCCCCCTAAAACGTTGACGACCGAACCTCTCATACTGTTGTCGGTGCTCGTGGAAGTCCTTGTCCTCGTCTGTAGTGTGATATTGACGTGAAAGTGGGTAGCTGCGTTGGGGCAATATAAACGAATCAGTTAGCACAGAAGGGATGGCAAATGAAGTAAATAAAGGGTGAGACCGCGTTTGGATGAGGGACGCGCAGTCTCGATGCCTGGTGATTTGCTTGAGTTGGTGCGTCGTGCGCATTGTTTAGTTTTAGCTTTTGCATTGAGGTCTCGCGCTCCTTTATTGCCATCTAAGACTTGATGGTCGTTATCTAGATTCATGATGAAGCGATTGACAAAGAATGCGAGCTTCGTCACGGTTATTATTCAAAGACGATCACGAACTCACGACTGCTTGCTGAGACCACCTTGTAGTTCGACCATGCTGAAAATCATTTCTTTTGGGAAACGATCAGTCGAACAGTTCACAGCATTGAAGCCAAGCTCAATTTCCTGCTACAAGCTCAGAGAGATAGCAATAGCACGTTCTTATCGTTTAAACGTTGAACGATTGCCGTAAGGCATATCCAGGCTAAGTCGTCTCGTCGCAGTTACCCTTGCAATAGCCCAATTGCTAACATCCTTGTGATAGTAAAGATATCAGTGCGTTTTGCCTGATAGAACATACTTGCAGGTGCCGAGAGGAGGGCTACCACCTCGTCTTCGCGAGGACGACGACAAATCAACCATAGAACATTGCTGAAAGCAAGGACTGTTACGATTTTTGTCGGATGTAATGTATACGATAGCTGCTGCTGGACTGAGGGCACCGTGCTATGTCATCGTTCGCCCATTCTGAACATTGCAGGGATATCTGCAGGGAAGTTGTTGCCGTCATTTCGTCATTCTTGCTTGCCCGGTTGCTGTTTGTCAATCTACTTCAAACTCAAACTTTGGCGGTTGTCACGCTGCTGCAACTATGCAATGAGCGTGCTGGATACTGCAGATCACATTAGCATTGTCCCGAAAACGACCAACATACGTCCACAGTGGCGAGTGCGACGAGTGCAGGGAAACGTAAGCAGCAGGACTTGCTTACACCAACATATGAAGATTGACAGTCACAACGCTGGACGTTTATGAATGACACAGACTTACTTCGATCATTAGCTCATGATGAATGCACAACTCTGTGAACTGAGAGCTCGGTGTTGAATAAAATCGTGTACCATAGCGTTAACTCATGGTGTCAGATGGTGTTCTTCGCTACTTGCAAATTTGTATCAAACAAATCAACGCACCTTTCTTGTCGATAGCGACTCTAAATTTTCACAGTTCTGCTGTCAAAAGAGCGTGGTGCTTAAGAAGCAGAGGCAAATGATAAGACTTGATGATAATGGCCAGTATGGCTACGAACTCTTGCATAGACATCTTGCCAAAGCACCACAAACTCGAACCCTGATCACCCTATCGCTCTGAGCCACCAAAAATGAGCTTGTCGATATCCAACAGACTGGATCATCAATGACATGATCAAGTGTCGGCAACAACAAAAAAGCTGCAGTCTGAAAGCCATGGCTGAGTTTGTGGACAGGCTGCATGCAAGTCACAGCCATACCATTAGCCGCAGGTCGATGAGATCCGAGACAGCTACTGTAACCGTGAGAGCGTAGCTCATAGCAATCCAGTGGGATTGTCTCCGGTTGTCTCACAGCTTAAGGACTTACTATAAAAGTCATGGCGCGGCTTTAGCTGTCCTCCTCGACCCGACGCACCTTACGTTTGTGCTTGGTGCTCCACGTAGCCACTGTTATTCTGGACCGCGGCACCTTAGTGGCAATAAGTGTCCTCATCTTCAATCAACGACTGTCCCGACATCACCACCACCAGCACTTCGTCGTCTGCGACGTTGTCAACTTTTTGCTCTTTGCTCGGATGGCATGCACGTCCAAGTTCTGTCTACTTGATCCCCAACACTTGGGAGCCAACGCTCGACAGAAACTAGAGCCTATCTAGCTTGTTTTTGTCAGTCATGTCACAAACACCAAGCGACGCGCTGCGTCTTAAACCCATGTGTCGGGCGGGGTCTTCTCATGCGATTGCTTTGAGTCCGAGCGGACTAACAGACAAGCTTTGCACACGGCGTCCGCCCAGTTTGCACTTTTTCGTTGTCAACCACTTTAAACGCCGTGCCGCGCGCATTGCACACATTTCAAAAAGTTATTTGGTACGG